CATCCAGATCCAGCAGGTGTCTCTTGACCTCCTCTCTCGTAATTTCGAACTCTTCCAAGGCCGCCTGGTTTACCTCCCTTTCTCCTAGCACAGTGACCTCACCTTGTTCTATTGTGAAGACCTCCTGGAACCTCTTGTTGAGTTCTTCACACACCTCTCTTTCATTCTCTGTATACCTGTCCTCGCCTGTTCGAAGTTTAAATACCTGTTCTTTCACTGTTGTTTTCCTTCTGATGTGACTGTGAAGCAGCTTTGGTTCGGTCTTGGCTTTGTTTGCTATATCATTTTCAAAACTTTTCTCTGCTTCTCTTCTCACCCTGACGTACTCATTCCTGGTTCTCTGTATCTCTCTCTGCTTTCTGGTGTTCTGTTATTCCGGAAGTTCCTCCACGCCCTTTTATTCAGTTTCTTCGCTTCCATACATGCCCTATTATACCATGGATTCTTCTGTTGCTTCTCGGATTTTTCCCTTTGGGCCGGGATGAACCTGTTTACTGCCTCCTGACACTTTTGGGTAACATAGTCCATCATACCATGTACGGACTTATCTCTGAGGTCTGTGTCCCAAGGTATTTCACTTAGGAAACTTCTCATCTGTCCATAATTTCCCTTTCGGTATACCAGCCTTTTGATTCCTAGTTCTCTTTTGGGGGAGATAAGTCCTAGCTCTACCAGGTACTCAAAGTTCAATACACTGTGGTCACTCATTCCCAAGGGCGCTTCCATCTTAACTTCCCTTATATCCCACTCATTTAGGGTAAATATCAAACCAAGCATTGCTGGTTCATCTTCTCCTCTCGTTCTTGTTGGTTCTGTAATGTGCTGGCTTAGAAAGTTTCTTGTTGCCACGTCCAGCAGCTTAGCTCTCCATGTTTCTGGTCCTCCATGCGGGTCTCTGTTCTTCCAATCTATCTTCCCATGGTTGAAGTGTGTGTGTGTGTGTGTGTGTGTGTGTGTGTGTGTGTGTGTGTGTGTGTGTGTGTGTGTGTGTGTGTGTGTGTGGTGTGTATGTGTACTTACCTAGTTATGCTTGCGGGGGTTGAGCTCTGGCTCTTTGGTCCCGCCTCTCAACTGTCAATCAACTAATGTACAGGTTCCTGAGCCTACTGGGCTCTATCATATCTACACTTGAAGCTGTGTATGGAGTCAGCCTCCACCACATCACTTCCTAATGCATTCCATTTGTCTACTACTCTGACACTGAAAAAATTCTTTCTAACGTCTCTATGGCTCATTTGGGCACTCAATTTCCACCTGTGTCCCCTAGTGCGTGTGCCCCTTGTGTTAAATAGTCTGTCTTTATCTACCCTATCAATTCCTCTGAGAATCTTGTATGTGGTGATCATGTCCCCTCTAACTCTTCTGTCTCCCAGTGACGTGAGATTTAATTCCCGTAGTCTCTCCTCGTAGCTCATACCCCTCAGTTCGGGTACTAGTCTGGTGGCAAACCTTTGAACCTTTTCCAGTTTAGTCTTATGCTTGACTAGATATGGACTCCATGCTGGAGCCGCATACTCCAGGATTGGTCTGACATATGTGGTATACAAAGTTCTGAAAGATTCCTTACACAAGTTTCTAAAGGCCGTTCTTATGTTAGCCAACCTGGCATATGCCGCTGATGTTATCCTCTTGATATGGGCTTCAGGGGACAGGTCTGGCGTGATATCAACCCCCAGGTCTTTCTCTCTCTCTGACTCTTGAAGTATTTCATCTCCCAAATGATTACTTGTATCTGGTCTCCTGCTCCATACACCTAATCTTCATTACATTACATTTGCTTGGGTTAAACTCTAACAACCATTTGTTCGACCATTCCTGCAGCTTGTCCAGGTCTTTTCGAAGCCTCAAGCTGTCCTCCTCTGTCTTAATCCTTCTCATTATTTTGGCGTCGTCAGCAAACATTAAGAGGAATGAGTCTATACCCTCTGGGAGATCATTTACGTATATCAGAAACAGGATAGGTCCAAGCACAGACCCCTGTGGGACTCCACTGGTGACTTCACGCCAGTCTGAAGTCTCACCCCTCACTGTAACTCTGCTTCCTATTGCTTAGGTACTCCCATATCCACTGGAGCGCCTTATCAGTTACTCCTGCCTGTTTCTCCAGCTTATGCATCAACCTTTTATGGGGTACTGTGTCAAAGGCTTTCCGACAATCCAAAAATGCTCCTGCACACTCTTTCAATACCCATGGTGAGATTATGTGCGGGCCTAACAGCCTTTCTCACGTCCAGCTCCAATAGGTGCCTCTTGACCTCATCTCTTGTAATTTCGAACCCTTCCAAGGCCGCCTGGTTTGCTGCCACCTCTCTTAGCGCCGTGATCTCTCCTTGTTCTATTGTGAAAACCTCCTGGAACCTCTTGTTGAGTTCTTCACACACCTCTTTGGCATTCTCTGTGTACCTGTCCTCACCCACTCTAAGTTTCATCACCTGTTCTTTCACTGTTGTTTTCCTCCTGATGTGACTGTGTAGTAGCTTTGGTTCGGTCTTGGCTTTATTAGCTATGTCATTTTCATACCTTTTCTCAGCTGCTCATCTCACACTAACATACTCGTTCTAGTTCTCTGGTATCTCTCTCTACTTTCTGGTGTTCTGTTATTACGGAAGTTCCTCCACGCCCATTTGTTCAGCTCCTTTGCTTTCATACATTCCCTTTTAAACCACGGATTCATCATTTGTTTCTCGATTTTTTTCCTGTCGGGCCTGGATAAACCTGTTTACTGCCTCCTGACACTTTTGGGCGACTTAGTCCATCATGTTCTTGATATTCGGACTTAGTTCTGAGTTCTGTGTCCCATGATATATCCCTTAAGAATTTATTCGTCTCATAGTTTCCCTTTCGGTACGCCAGCCCTTTGTCTCCTAGTTCTTTTTTGGGGGAGATAATTCCTAGTTCTACCAGGTGCTCAAAGATTAATACACTATGATCACTCATTCCCAAAGGGGCTTCCAACTTGACTTCCCTTATATCCTACTCATTTAGTGTAAATATCAAATCAAGCATAGCTGGTTCATGCTCTCGTCTCATTCTTGTCAGTCCCTTTACGTGTTGACTTAGAAAGATTCTTGTTGCCACGTCCAGCAGCTTAGCTCTCCATGTGTCTGGTCCTTCATGTGGGTCTCTGTTCACCCAATCTATGTTCCCGTGGTTGAAGTATCCCATGATTAGTAGTCTAGATCCGTTCCTGATAGCCATAGAAGCTGCTCTCTCTATAAAAGTGATGGTGGCTATGTTGTTTTTATCATATTCCTGTCTGGGTCTTCTGTCGTTTGGTGGGGGTTATATATTATACTATTATATTATATATTATATATTATACTACTATTATAATTTTCTGTCCTCCAGCTGCTATGGTGCCTGATATGTAGTCACTGAAACCTTCACAGCCCTGATTAACCATCTCTTCAAAACTCCAACCTTTTCTTATCAGCAAAGCTACACCACCTCCTCCTCTCCCTTCTCTCTCTTTCCTCTACATAGTAGTCTTGTGGAAACACTGTGTTAGTTATGGTTTTCGTTAGCTGGTTGTGGGTTCCCCTCTTGTCTCTGGGACTGTTGTGTTGGGGGCTGTGATTTCCTGGTTTACTCCTCTCTCCCTGCGCTTCCTCCTTGCCTCTGCTGCCCTGGCTCTCTCCTCCTTCGTCCTGTCCCTCAGCAGGAATACTTTTTTTGTATTCCTCCACATACTGCAGAGGGCGAGGGGGAGAGGAGAGAGAGGGGAAGAAGGCAAGAGAGGGAGAGGACGAGGGCGAGAAAGGAGGGCGAGAGAGAGGAGGTTATCTTGAGGTTATCTTGAGATGATTTCGGGGCTTTAGTGTCCCCGCGGCCCGGTCCTCGACCAGGCCTCCACCCCCAGGAAGCAGCCCGTGACAGCTGACTAACACCCAGGTACCTATTTTACTGCTAGGTAACAGGGGCATAGGGTGAAAGAAACTCTGCCCATTGTTTCTCGCCGGCGCCTGGAATCGAACCCAGGACCACAGGATCACAAGTCCAGTGTGCTATCCACTCGGCCGACCGGCTCCTAAGGGAGGAAGGGAGGGTGAGAGAGAGAGAGAGAGACAGGAGAGAGAGAGAGAGAGAGAGAGAGAGAGAGAGAGAGAGAGAGAGAGAGAGAGAGAGAGAGAGAGAGAGAGAGAGAGAGAGAGAGAGAGAGAGAGAGAGAGAACAGAGAGGAGAGCGACAGAGAGAGAGAGTGAGAGAAAAGAGAGGGCGAGAGAGAGAGAGAGAGAGAGGGGGGTGGGGATGGGTGGGGGGGAGGAGGGAGATTGTATATCACTCTCTCTATGGTGGCCAGTTGACGTGTAAGGGGAAGGAGGGACTGTGTTACCCTGACTTGTGTGAGTGTAGGGATTAACAGCATCATTCAGGTCCCAACTGAGCTCATAGTGAGGTTACTGCCTCATTCTCTATCAATCTGTCAAGATTACTATTCTATTATCAAATGAAATGCATTATATGTGACTACTATATGATATAAAATAAACCTTGCACACTGTTGAATACTTTAGAGAGAGGGGGACACTTACCAGTCACCACTCAACAAGAACAACCAGGCAGTTCCACGGCGGTCGTCCCACATTGGCTGTCAGGTCAGGTCGCTCCACGGGGCTCTCCGTATGTGTGTCTGTCTGTGTTGATTTCAATATCACATAGAAAAAATAGTAAGACAACGTCAGTGAAATTTTATTGCACATATGTTTTTTTGAACGTGAAACATAGTGGCACCAATATTGACCTCGCTGACTACGACCATAGCCGAGACCAATTATGTGTTTCAGAGGAAGGAGAAAAGTAATCGTTAACGTTGCATTAGTATAAGTGCCTTAAAAGAAACTACAAAAGCAGATCATTAACACTGAATTTAGTTCATGTATAATAGCAGGTGGATATTGTAATGACTCTAAGCCATTGTTATCCATACCAACAATCACTCATGTTATGCCCGTAGTGTCTAATTTTTCGTGTCACCCACACTAACCCGACGTGTCCACCCCATGCCCACACTACAGCCCCTGGACCGTGACCCACCCCACGGCCGGGCTCAGTGGCGACTGCGGGTGACTGCGTCAGATGGCGAGCTGGAGACGCACACTGACGTACGCGTCAACCTCAAGGACGTCAACGACAACGCTCCGTACTTCCCCTCCCACACCACCACCACCACCATCTCCGAGGACACGCCCAAAGGTAAAGTACCACAACCACACAGTCACTACAATCTCCTACCAAGTTCCCGAAGAGTCAACAAATGCTCAAAGCTTCGTATTATCGCCATGACAACAATAAGCAAAACGCTCCTAAAGGTATGATTTTAATATTTCATAATGGGAGCGAGCTCCTGCCAGACGTAAGAGCTCGTACATAGACGAGGTAAGCCTTAACTTTAGCAAAGACTGGTCGTTCCTGTTCAAATTGCGGAATGGGTAACTTTCCCGACTGTTAAAACTAAAATTCCTTTTTACCGACAAGAAAATTATTTGTGTATTACATAGTTTCTGGAAAAGTTGAAGGTAAAGCACCCTCGTTTGTATATAAACTTACATTTTGTGTATATAATCTTCTGTCATGTAATTTGCCTTGTCTCTCTACTCTAGGTAATGTAACGAACGAAAGTGTTTGGGCTATTTGATGTCTTGCATTATATTTGTTTTTTTCCTGTATTATCAGATCATGTAATTAATGACCGTCTTTGCTTGAGTTAATGGTCCGACAAAATTATCTCTGAAGAGAAGTGGTGAAAAACGATTTTATGACTAAATCTCATTAACGGCAGAATGGTTCGAATCCCAATGTTTGTTGTGAACAGAAACCTTGGTAGTCATGTCGAGATCTCACCAGAGGTGGGACCCCTATAATTTAATATATATATATATATATATATATATATATATATATATATATATATATATATATATATATATATATATATATATATATATATATATATATATATATATATATATATATAATATATATATATATATATATATATATATATATATATATATATATATATATATATATATATATATATATATATGTCGTACCTAGTAGCCAGAACGCACACTTCTCAGCCTACTATGCAAGGCCCAATTTGCCTAATAAGCCAAGTTTTCATGAATTAATTGTTTTTCGACTACCTAACCTAACCTAACCTATCTTTTTCGGCTACCTAACCTAACCTAACCTATAAAGATAGGTTAGATTAGGTTAGCCAAGTTTCCTGAATTAATATATTTTCTGTAATTTTTTTCTTATTAAATGATAAAGCTACCCATTTCATTATGTATCAGGTCAATTTTTTTTATTGGAGTTAAAATTAACGTAGATATATGACCGAACCTAACCAACCTTACCTAACCTAACCTAACCTATCTTTATAGGTTAGGTTAGGTTAGGTAGCCAAAAAGTTAGGTTAGGTTAGGTAGGTTAGGTAGTCGAAAACAATTAATTCATGAAAATTTGGCTTATTAGGCAAATCGGGCCTTGCATAGTAGGCCAAGAAGTGCATTCTGGCTACTAGGTACGACATATATATATATATATATATATATATATATATATATATATATATATATATATATATATATATATATGTATATATATATATATATATACACAGACTTGCCTATATAACTCGCAAGCTGAAGTTTATAACTTTTAACACTCAACCCACCAGGAGACTCGAGCCCTGGTCCACCGAGTGGCAGGTATACACTGTATCCACTGCACCATACTTCAAAGCCATAAAGAGAGGTAGGAATTCCGGGCTATTTAACCCACAGAAGCATGGAAGTATGAAGTATGGTGCAGTGGATACAGTGTGTACCTGCCACTCTGTGGGCCAGGGTTCGAGTCTCCTGGTGGAATGAGTGTTAAAAAGATATATATATATATATATATATATATATATATATATATATATATATATATATATATATATATATGTCGTACCTAGTAGCCAGAACTCATTCTCAGCCTACTATGCAAGGCCCGATTTGCCTAATAAGCCAAGTTTTCATGAATTAATGTTTTTTCGTCTACCTAACCTACCTAACCTAACCTAACCTAGCTTTTTTTGGCTACCTAACTAACCTTACCTATATATATAGGTTAGGTTAGGTTAGGTAGGGTTGGTTAGGTTCGGTCATATATCTACGTTAATTTTAACTCCAATAAAAAAAAATTGACCTCATACATAGTGAAAAGGGTAGCTTTATCATTTCATAAGAAAAAAATTATAGTAAATATATTAATTTAGGAAAACTTGGCTTATTAGGAAATCGGGCCTTGAATAGTAGGCTGAGAAGTGAGTTCTGGCTACTAGGTACGACATATATATATATATATATATATATATATATATATATATATATATATATATATATATATATATATGTGTTAAATATGACTGAAAAAGTAAGATAAATAATTCTAACACGAATTTCCTCAATATCTGTTATTTTTCTTTTTTTTACTGTCGATGGTATTTGAAAAATCAATTCTCCAAAATTCATTTTATTTCTAGTCTGACGCGACGCTTGAACGCATTTCGTAATAACTTATTACATTTTCAAAGACTTTAGTTTACACACACACAACTGTAACCTAAAAACACTAAACAGAGTTTTACTTATTCAAACAATTGTCTTATATACTCGCATTTGGGTGAGGTGATATGTTGCAACAGTTTTGGATGAGGTGAACAAACTTTTGACCAACACAAGACAGAACACAGAACATTGGGTATTAATTGGATAAATGAGAGGGAAGAATGGAAGTAACTGCAAAGTGCCTATTGGCCCATACTTCCTCTTGATGCTTCTATATTGGTACGGAGTCTTGAAGTGGGTAGAATTTAGTTGTGCAATAATTGGCTGTTGATTGCTGGTGTTGACCTTTTGATGTGTAGTGCCTTGCATATGTCAAGGCGCCTGCTATTGCTGTATCTATCGATGATTTCTGTGTTGTTTGTTAAGACTTCTCTGGTGATAGTCTGGTTGTGGGAAGAGATTATATGGTCCTTGATGGAACATATAATCTGGTACAGCTCCTTCTGGTACCATCAGCTCTACCGCCCTACTGGAGAAGGCTAACATATTTGGTTCATAGAGTTGTGTCGTGTGGGGCACGGAATGCCAGACTTGTTGCAGCGTCAGCTGTTACAATTTCATGTGATAATTATGATGAATTGAAAATAATAATAATAAATAAAATACATCAATTGAACCCCCTTAAAGCTATCTAATATTTTAGACGATAAATGTAAGTTTTTCTTTCCCATGATAAAATCCTAACTGTTTGCTGTCTCACAGAGTCACCAAACAAATAGTCAGTTTTGACAAGAAAACATTAATATCCAATCCATCAGTTAATATATATATAGTAGAAATTTATCCCAAAAATTTCTTCGCAACAGACGTGAAAAAATTTCAGCCAAATGCCCAAGAAAATTTTACTTATTTACGGAATGAAGTGAATCATTTAGATGCTTCAGGGTGAATACCACTAAAACCATATCTGATCTATAATTTGGTATTACTGTTCATAGTTTTCTCATGAAGGCTGAGAGGAAGTTCCATAAAGCAAAAAAATTGTAGTATGATTTGAGCTTTCTTAATATTTGCAAGAAATTTCTCTAAATTTCATAGGCTTGAAGCGTATAACCCTAAATTCTATTCTTCTTCTACTTATCGTTCTGGGTTATTTAAGTTGGTGAGAGTTGAATATAGATTCTTGAAAAAGAAGTGAATTTGCGTGTAATAGATTGTTGGACTCATTCAGTAAACGCTTTCTTCAATTTTTTCATACATTAATTTTAAATAAATTATAATTTTATATATTTATACATCTATGTGTGTGTTTATATTTGTCAAATGATCACCAGTCAAACCGAAGCAGAGAAGTAGTAACATCTTACTGTTAAAGTTTAGTTCTCAGCTTTTCACGACTAAGAAATTTACAGCATTCCTAAATTGGAAGATGTGATCCTTACTGACGCCGTCTTCCCCAAGGCACCGTGGTGGCCCAGATGGTGGCCACGGACCACGATGACCCCGATGAGGGCCACAACGCTCGCCTGGTCTACTCGCTGGAGAAGAATGTGATAGACGAGTCGAGCGGGAGCCCCATCTTCAGCATCGACAGTCAGCTGGGGCTC